AATAATTAATAATAAATTGTAATGAAAAGGAAAATAACAGAGAAATAAAACCCAAGAAAGACGAGTGATGCAAATGAAAACAGTTGCTCACCACCAACCGACCAATGCCCAGCCTGTACCCGAGCAGCGGCCCCCCACCAACCTCCCCCCTAGTTTTATTGCTGAGCGTGATGTCATATGGCATGGAATATCCCTTTGGTCAGTTGGGGTCAGCTGTCCCGGCTGTGTCCCCTCCCAACTTCTTGTGCACCCCCACCCTACTCGCTGGTGGGGTGGGGTGAGAAGCAGAAAAGGCCTTGACTCTGTGTCAGCACTGCTCAGCAGTATTGAAAACATCCCTGTATTACCAACACTGTTTCCAGCACAAATCCAAAACGTAGCCTCATACTAGCTACTGTGAAGAAAATTAACTCTATCCCGGCCAAAACCAACACATTCTATAATATAATTTGGGTGCTGAACACATTTGGCTATCAGTGGGTGGTTGTTGATATTATTGGCTGGTTCTGCTTTAAAGCAATGTAATTTCCTTTCGATTAAATTAGACAGGGAGTTGTTCCTTGGTAGTTGCTAAATATGTTCTGTAGTTCTAGCAGTAGTGTTGAGAATCAGGCTGAATGAAGTTATAGTTATTTCTCAACATATTAAATGCATGTAAACATTTATATAAAAATGTGTTTAAGATCTTAACTTTTTTCTAAAAAAAAAAAGTTGTCAGTGTGATTGTGTGGGATTAACAGAATGTGAAATGGCAAATACAGAATAAACAAAAGCAGAAAACTAATGAAAAAGGAAGTATGTCTCTTATTCCGACGGAAGAATTCAGACAAATTGTGCACAAAATTGGGATAAATATATGTTAACTGGGGTATTTTTGCCCTGCTAGGCTTTCCTAAAGTAAGTTTTTGAAATAGGTAGTTTTCAAATATCTCCTAAATCACTATCCATAATTGTTATCTCAGCTTTTCTGGTGCCCAAAAAAAGGTCTTCTGTAATAAAATTAACTTTGAACCCTCTTTTGTTTGAATACTTCACGTATTTGAATCAAAGCACTTGATTCTTACTGATTTTTTTTTCTGTACTGAATTTTACTGGCTTCTGTGAAGTTACTGAATGAATCTTCACTCTGATGTGTTCGTTGCTTTTGATTTTTTTCTTGGTTTCCTATAGTTAATCTAACAATAATTTCATGTGAAAATAAAAGGCAAGAGCAAGTAGCTGAAACAAACCATTTCCTCTTCTGTATTCTATTCCTCTTTACACTTACCCCTTTTTTGAGGGTTGAAATGGTACATTATTTTTTAACGGAACTCACTTTTTGCCTTATGTGCAAAATTAGGAGAAAAGTAACTTGCAGGTTGGAGGAGAAGCTCCCATGCAGACTTTGGTTAGTAGTTGAACTCTGCAAGCTGTTTCAAAATAGCGTATGACATATTTTATCAGGTATTAGGTCCTCTGGTTCTACAGAACAGCAGGCTGACTCCTGTTTTGGCTCGTGAGGATACATTCTGACTTAGCTGAAACTATCTCAAGGCAAGCCAGCTAAGTGTATTTTTACTAAGTATATTTCAACCTTTTATCTGTTTCAGTAGCAGAGATTCCCAAGTTAGCAATTTTCAGCATTTATATAATGTAATTTTTACTGTACAGACACTGATTAATGCCCTGAACATTTAAAATACTGGAGTCAAACAAAGTACCATGCAATAAATTGGGACTGATGTAAATCTTGAATATCCCTCTCTTCCTTCTTGCTCCTTGATACTCATTTTACATAGACCACAAGATGTAGAAATGCTTTCAGAGAAACAATAGGAAATTAAAAAACCAAAGAGTTGCAATGTATGTCTCTTGTTGTGTGGTTTTGTGGAATTCACTAGCTCTCTGTGGAGAGTGGTGAAAGTGGCTGCAGAGGCGGGCTTCTAGGGCAGAGGATATTTCTTATAAAGTACTTCAAAATGTACTTTGGGAACAACAAACAACTTGCATAGCATATTTCAAGAGAGCAGGTGTTATGAGACCTGACAGTAATCTTGGAAGAGTACTAAGTGTGTGTTTTGGGTCTACTACAATTAAAAACACTGAGGTGGAAAGAAAAAATATTATTATCATATGATCAGATTCCTTCTAGTTGTGTGGAAGCCAACATATTTTTCACATGCTTCGTGCTAAACAAATAGCTTGTTGCTTTCTAGTTGCAAAGTATGTTTTCTATTGTGTAATAAGCACAGCTTAAAATATCAAAGTAATTTAGAAACTAACATGTCAAAGGAGATTTCCTTTGAAACATACCTTGACAAAAGAAATGCGTACAATATTTAGGTTATTTTATATTATTTGTCAAACTATCCAAATAAATTCAGTTTATGTTGCATTTTTTTTTCTAGTGGGGAGAGAAAGTGCAAGGACGGGAGGAAAACTAACATCCAAAACCCAATCCATTTTTCTGTGCTTTCCACCCAACTATTCATACAGAGAAGGTGGTTTTTATTTACCCATAAACAAAACAGAAGCTGTTTTGTAATTACTGGTTGCATAGTTCATTTTTTTTTATTGCTGATGTCTAATAAAAATCCAGATGTAGCTTTTGCAAGACGTGCTTTGTATTGATACAAAATAGTAGAATAGTAATATTTAATGGTGTTAAACTTTCAGGTGACTATGGCTTGAGTTTACCTCTTGGAGAAGAATATGAACGAAAAAAGCATAAACTCAAAGAGGAACTTCGACAAGACTATAGGCGGTATCTTTCTCAGGTAAAGCTTCTTGTCTGGTTGCCTGAGTTTAGTGAGTCTTTTACAATGACTCTCTGATTTTAATTGAATGAAAATTAATAAAATCTATGGAAAAATCTTTATGCGAAGGCATTCATTATGGGCGATGGCTGATTTGGAAGACTTGAGTAAAAGTAATTTCAAAATGTCACTGCTAGGAAGGGTTATATATTTTAGGCTTCTACAGATCTCATTGCCATTAGACTACATATTACTTAGTACATTTTATGCTGAATACTTTTATTTATTTGTCTCTACTTCTTTCTTAGTTTCTTCTTAAGAATTTAAAATATCATCTGTTACTTCCTTAAGTACTTATGTATGCTATGGTCTGTAATTCAGGTAAGAATATTCCTATAATTAGCGTGACTCCATTTGACAGCTTCTTTTCAATTTTAGAAATAAAAAAACTTTGATGTTCTGCTTAGCATGATTTATTGAATGTCACAGTAAATTTAAAATTTAAATAGTATGTATGAATTGTCATAATCTTGGGAATATTCTTTAACCCTTCTTAGTCAAACAGAAAAAAAAATCGGGAACCAAATAATTTCCTTTGTCTGAAAATGCTAATTATCAGTGTCTTTAGTTCTTAAAATGAAAGAATGGATTGGCTTTAAGAAAAGTCTTTTTTGTTAAGTAAAATATTTTTGAATGAAAGACTTTTTGAATAGTATCTTTTCCCTGACTTTTAGGGTATTTCACAGGCAAAAAGAAAGGTAGGGTGCCTGCAATATCTTTTTTTTTTCTTCAAAAATCAGTTGCTTTTTGCTTTGTTTGAAAGCTTTGTGCTCTGAATTTAAAAAAAAATCATTACTTTTTTGTACTTTGTGTGTTTGTGCATGCTGTAGTGATTAGTTGTGATTAACAGCATTGTTTGCTTTATGCAAAATGATTGCTTATATTTATTATTTTCCATTAATAAGATTTTAAAACGCTTGTTGATTTCTTTTTTCCTTTGCAATTGCTATTGTTGCTGTCTAATGCTGACTCTAAGAAAGATTTCCTTCTAGTAGACATTTGCTTCAAGGCTTATCAGTTACACAGATGTTATGAGTTCAGATTTTGTTTTTCTTGATATACATACTTTATAAAGCTGGAATAAAATTGTAAACTCTGAAATGTTGTAATATGTCATCAGAACCAGAGTCAGGGCTTTTTTCTTCCCTATCACTGTGAAATCCCATCAGTGGTGCTTAGGAAAGCGGTAAAGCCAGTTATTCAGCACCTAGTGGCCAGAATGCAAGAATGCAAGTATTGTGACGAAAAAGTAATACCAGAGGCACATTTTTGCAAGCTTTGTTCAATTACAGTGATTTTAATTATTTATATCATTATACTGTCATGTATATATAATTTTCAAATTTAACGCTGTCATCCAGGTTGTTCAAATTAAGCAACTTAAGTAAAGGACCAGGAGGTAACATGGTAGAAACACAACCTTCTGGTTTTTCTGGGGCTTTGAATAACATGCCTATGATACAAATTAACTATACAAACATGCACTAGAATTCCTGAATAACAATAGCAATAGCAGAAATAACTGGCTTTAACCTCTAACCAAAATGATGCTTATATGATTGTTGCTTCTTGTTTAATCTTAAACTTCAGATTATTTTCAAAGTTAGAATATTGTGTTAAAACTTAATGTTTCATAATTCTCACCAAAGTACCAAATAATATAATTTTTACATTAACTTCTAGTGTTTTATTCTCAGCTGAACTTCAGTTTTGCAAATTTAGGTTTACAAGGGTTGGTTTTTTTTTAATGTAGTACGTTAGCTATATTAAGCTCATAAGGCCTGAGGAAGAGATAGGATAACAATCTCTAATTTCTTTTCCCCACATAAAGAGATAGTGCAACTTTTAGCAGCTCTCCTAGTGATAATTTTTTGGTTAATAACTTGTTTAGTCTCGCTTACATAGAAAATGCAGTTTCCATATCAGCTTCTGATTTTTGGCAAATACCTTCTTAAGATCAGAGGTAATCTCTACAGACGTGTTCAAAGCGTGAAAAAAATCACTTAATAATGAGGATTACAATTTATTTACTTTTTCTAGTAAAAATAACTTAGTTCTCCATATTAATCTAGTTGTCTCGGTGCTTGAATATTTGCATGGTTATTAAATCTCCTAAATCTTTTAATGTGTAGTTGTGAAACATAATTCATAATGATGTGGTTTTGTACTGGAACAGGTAGAGCTCTTACCTGTTGACATGCCTCTAAGCTTTTAAGCTACGTTACGACATAGATAATGGAAGGAAACAATGCTAGTGAAATACCCTATCTAACCCACTCCCCTCGTCAGCCCATGCCACACAAATAGATGATCTTTTTATTAAAGATAATCAGATTTATAAAACATAGGTGATTGACTGAGAATGGCCTGGGGATGCTTTTAGTAAATGAGTGATGTATGAAGAAGCCACTAGACCTGGAAGCTAAGGACCTGTTCCAGCATTGGTGTTTGATTTGAAAGGCTGATACTTTGATTTGCTGTGCAGCCCAGCTCCCAAGCCGCGGCCCAGGGAGCTATACGGAGCAACAACATAGTGTTTTCAATGGAAAGTTCTGTTCTGAAAGTGACTGATGGTCTGTAAGGAATGACAAGATTTGGTGATGGGTCATTATCCTGAAAAGTTTGGGGACTGCTGTTGTAGAAAACAGATAATGTTGAGATACAGAGTGGTGACTGTGCTAGTGTTAGCATGGATTTCATCTGTTAAAATAAGACGTAAACATACGTTTTCTGCAGTTAGAAGAAGCAATTTTTCATCTTAAGTAAGGTAGTGTCTTGGAAAATCCCTCTTACGCTTGTACAGATGCTTGTGCTATGCTACTTGCTTACAGGAGAATTGAGTAATGGTAGGGGTTTTTGAATAAAAATATGTTTTTTTAATATACAGAGACTAACTTATGTAATCTTTGAAATAGCGTAACAGGGAAGAAGTGACAAATGCTTTCAAACTCAAGCTTAAAGCTTGACAAAGCCCTTTACTTTCCGCATTGCTTGACTTCACTTCATTCGTGCGTTCCAAGAACATCCTACATTTTCAAAACACGAAGGTTGTCTTCAGTCTTTATGTCATTAAATTGATCAGATTTATTTCAGAAAATATAATTCCTAGCAGCTATTTAGCAAGTAAGATTTGATATTTTAAAATATATTGATTTTTTTTTTTTTAATGTAGAAAAATTATCTGACTACTGGTGAAGTAGATCCATATACTCAGGGATTATCTCTTCCTATTGATGAGCGAAGATCTGCCAAGGTAAATATCTGGAGGAGATTAAGTGGTGTATAACTTGAAAATGAACCTGGATGTTTAAACTGTTGTGGAAAAACTATTTCCACTTAAGTTTTTTTGGTTGGTTGGTTTTTTTTTACGCTGTTTACAAATGAACATTTTTGGAGGTGGTCGTTAGAATAATTTTCAGAAAAGTAAAGTCTTTAAATTTTGTTGTTGTTTTTAAATTTTTAATCCTAGGTTACCTGTACTCTTAATTTTCAGATAATTAGATGTGTAATTCTATACTGATATGCTACTTGTAATTCACTCCTGCAGGGCACTTGGTGTGTTCAAAAGCTCTAGTGGTTGTGCTTCGGTTTTGTTCAGCAATAAATATTGATCTAATAAAGAACTTTTTTTTTTTTTAATAATTATATATATACTTTTCTAATTTATTACTCTTGTTACTGCAGCCTGGGGATAATTTTAAAAATTTTTGCTTGTAGTTGTTTCTACAGTGATACTCTTATCAGTTCCTATCAGAACTAAAGGAAGTATGCTTTCTGCTGTACGCAATTTGTTCTGATGTCTTTGTGTACACTTAACCCACCTGCTTATCCACATGTGATTTTGGTTTTTTTGAACAGATAAAACCAGATCAGCTTTTATATAGATTCCTGGAATTTCATGTATTGCCTGCTGTTAATATAGGAATCTTCCCAATTTCCAGTCTTTCTTTGAAAGTACAGATACTAATGTGTTTTGTGAAAGGAGTACACGTTCTCTCTCTGCGTTTAGCCCCTTTGATCTCCCTGAGGTTTCTTATCAGTTTATGGTCTTGCTTTCATATGTTGGAGAAAGATACCAGCCGTAACAGTCTTTCTGCTATTGGAGGTTCATGAAGGTTAGAATATGAAGATGCAACATGCATATGTGGATTTTCTTAACCTCTGATCCATTCCTCTGAGGCATAGTATGATCCTGTGAAAGCCTAAATCAGTCTTACAGGGGTCACCTCTCCTCCTGCCCTCACACTGTTGGCCTTATATTCCCAGTTCCTTTCTTGTGTTTGCTTGTAAATTGATCCAGGAAGTTGAATCAGCAGAAACATTGTAATTTAGCAAATATTTTTGCTGACTCAACAAACACCACGGGTTGGTTGTTACGATCAGTCAAACCCCAGCGAGATGCAAGGCAGAAAGAGAAACTGTGTTGCTGCAGGAGGACTGGACTGCTATGCTCTTGGGGGTTTTATTTGTTTTTGTTTTTTTTAACCTATGTTGCCTTGGAGTTGCATTGTTGCTCTGTGTTTGGGACTACTCTGTTGCTGTAATCTGGCGCAAGACTTTTGCTATGGAATGTGTTGGGTCTTTCCCTTGCTGTGCTTATGCTTTCTGCCTCTCTTGTGCTGGCAATAATGTTTGGCCATGTGAGGAGCCAGGTGAGAGCTCAAATAAGTGAAAATTGCTGTTACGAAAAAAACCCAAACTCCAAATTATACTAGGGGGGGGGGGGGGGGGGGGAGAGGCAGCAAGAATGAAATGCCGAGGAAGGGGAAAGGACTCCTTCTCAGTGGCAGCATGCATTTGTGCTGACTGTTAGCTTCAAGTTCTCGTGAACTTTGTGTTAACCCTTGCGAGTATGTGTGCTGAAACAGTGAAAGATAAAGTATCTTTGATTAATTCTGTGGAAATTAAAGACTTACCTGAACTGGGAACATGTCTGATCATTGATGGTTTTATATCATAGCAGCTCAACATTCATTGAGATTTTCTGTACAAGAGCGTTGTATCGTTTTTACTCATTTATTTATTGCTATTGCAGAACCTAAAAGCTGCCACAAGATGTCACACTGTGCCCTGCTAAACGGTTAGCCTCTGGGCAGCTAATGATTAGAGGTTAACATTTGCATTTTGGTAAAATACGCAGTCACACAGCATATTGAATTTTCTGCTGAGTGTTTTGCCACCTGTTAAAGACAATGCTAGTTTCTCAGCTTTGGAAAATACCCCTCAGGCAGCTTTCATAGCTGCCTGCAGGTTTTATATTGTCACTGTCAGAAAACGTATAGACACAAATTTTGGAAAAAAAAAAAAAACAAAACCAGTTTTGGGGAGCATTGGTCTCATTTGCAAAACTATTACTAAGCTGGTATTTCCATGGTGATTGAGGTATAAATTATTTTTGTTTGAAATTTGTTCATGGGAAAGTAAATTTATATAAAATGTTCAGATTTTTTTAATACCTTTTGCTTTTTAATTGGAAAATACTGCAGTGGAGAAGGGCATGATTCGTAATACTGTAATATAATTCTCTTTATCATTTATATGATGGTTGGAATGAGGCAGTAAAAGAGATGCCCCATGCTCTAAATGTAAGGTACTAATATCGGGAAATAATGCAAATTAGAGTTTGCTTTACCTGGAGACTTTTGTATTTCATATTATATTATTAGGCTATTGATGTACAATTCCTGTACATTTTTAGACCTGAGCAAGCTGGTTATAAATGTTGTCACCTTGCAAAAGCAGCTAGGACAAGGTGGATAGATCATGTTTTTCTTAGTTTTTCTTGCATTCTTTGCGCTTTTGACTCTTTTTGCAGTCAGCTTAACTCCTCATTTGAATTTGACTGTTCAAGCTATATCCTAAGCTATAATTGACACATCTTGTCTATACATGTATTTGTTGTCCTGTTTTAATTATGAGTGGGGCAAGTCACAACTAACCTTAACACTAAAATATCGTATGTTTAAAAATAATCTGTAAATACATTCAGATTGGAAATTAGAAGATGATTTCTAATTGTCAAAGGAGTGAGGCTTTGGAACAATTTTGGAATATATTTAGCGGGAGGAAACCTAACTGGTTTTAAGGTGGAACTTGATATACAGTAGTGTTACTGGGGACTAGACTTCATGCCCAAGAAGCTGACTTCTACTTACAGGTTTCAGATTAAGAGAAAGTACTATGTTCAAGAATGAACAAAAACCTCAAAGCAATTCAAGCCCTATTTGTACATCACAAAGAAGGGGGAGGGCAAACACACAGCTCGCATGTATTCATTTAATACTGCAGTTCTATGAAGTTAAAAGCTACTAAAAAATGCAAAATTATGATGCCCTTTTCAATGCCTGTTTTAGGAGAAACTACGGCTTGAAAGAAACAAGGAGTACAATCAATATCTCAGGGATAAAGAAGAATGGAATGAAAGGCTAAGGAAATTAGGGAAGAAAACCACAGAGGTAATACAGTTTTACTGAAGCTGATACAAAGAACAACATAAATGATCTTGTCAACTGTTTTATCATTGACTAAGACATACAAAGTAAGACAAAATAAGCAAAGAGTGTTGTTCAATTAAGCCACAGTTTTATTAATACATCTAGCAAGTCCTGGTTACAAGTCATACAGTACAGTTCTTGATTCCTACTTCAGTCATGTCTATCTGGTAGAAGGATGCTTTCATTCTTCTGTGTGTCTGAAGCAAGTCCCTGGATTGTTCTTGGTGATAAAAGTGGTGGCCGAAAAAGCTGTGTCTTTGGACAAAATGTTGAGCTCCACACAGTGTTCCTTAGCTTTTATTTGTAGCTGCTTTTTCCTCAGTCTGTGTCCAGTTCATGAGAAAGCAAGGCAAGTGCAGGCAGCTGTCTAGTATATGGTGCTGTGCATTTGTGAATCAAAAAAAATGTCTTTACTACTGAAAGCGAGCTAGACACATGCATAATTGAACTCAGAGTCTGAGCTGAGGCCTTTGATTTGTATGGCAGTAGGCAGCTAAGCACCACGCAGCTGCTTGCTCACTCCCCGCTCCCCCCACAGTGGGATGGGTGAGAGAATCAGAAGAGTAAAAGTGAGAAAACTTGTGGGTTGAGCTAAAGACAGTTTAATAGGTAAAGCAAAAGCTGCACACACAAGCAAAGCAAAATCAGGAAGATTCATTCACTACTTCCCACTGGCAGGCAGGTGTTCAGCCATCTCCAGGAAAGCAGGGCTCCATCATGTGTAGTGATGGCTTAGGAAGACAAATGCCATAACCCCTTCCTTCTTCTTCCCCCAGCTTCTCTTGCTCTGCATGATGTTGTATGGTATGGAATATCCCTTTGGTCAGTTGGGATCAGCTGTCCCAGCTGTGTCCCCTCCCAACTTCTGGTGCACCCCCAGCCTACTCGCTGGTGAGGCAGCATGAAAAGCAGAAAAGCCCTTGATGCTGTGTTAGCAGTGTTCAGCAGTAACTAAAATATGCCTGTGTTATCAATGCCGTTTTCATTACAAATCCAAAACATAGCCCCATACTAGCTACTATGAAGAAATTTAACTCTATCCCAGCCAAAACCAGTACAACAGTCAACAGGGGATTTTTAGGTCTAATTAGCATTGTTGAGACCCTTTGTTTTAGTAATCTAGAAGCAATATATTGATCTGAGAAAGCCTCTGTACTGCTTGTTAATTGTAAAATCTTGGGTGGAATGGGTAAATTTTTTTTTTAAATATTGTTGCCTTAGTTTAGTGATGGACTGCAATAATTTGGAACTCTCATCTAATGCAGGTTTGATTTAAGAAGGCGTTTCACTTCTTTTAATACGGAAATTCTTAAGTGTACAGTAGTGTGAGTGTTAGGTCATTCTATGAAGGGACTTGTATTTGTACTCACAACAGCTGAAAGTTCATTGTCTTTCTTACAGTAGTCGGCAATACCCGTGTATTTATAAGTTCTATCTAGAAGAATGTTTCTTGTCTGTCTCCAGAAAGGTTGTTTTCTTGTGAGAAAGATCTTTTCCTCCAAGTGCATTGGAGTGTCATATAGTTGAAAACCATTTTAATCTGTGAAGACAGCTATAAGGCAGTATGCAGGCATCCTTTAGATGTTGGATATTGGCTTCTTCAAGGGTTGGAGTGCTACACAACAGTGATCCCTAGGAAATACATGGCAAAAATGCAGCTTGTGTTTGTGTAACTGAGTCTATAATTCTCTAAAGATTTTTCTACATGTTTGGGCATTTGTGTTTCCTCAGCTGACTTATCTAATCAAATCTATTTAGGGAGTCAAGGTTTTTTCTTTCTGCTTTGTTTGTCACCTCATTGGACCTTTATGTTATATTTTTATTATTCTTGTGTAGAAACAATTTTGCTGTCATAAAAGAACAAACAGGAAAAAAACCTGGTGAGGATTTGTTCAGGTTCTCCCATCTCTGAGGGATATTTGACTTGGAGTGAGAGTCAAATGAATGGGTCTCATGATTAACACGTGACCTCAAAAGTTTGATCCAACAGTTTAGATAATCATAGGATAAACTTCAGTTGCAAGGAACCTCTGGAAGTTGTGTAGTACAATCCCCTGCTCAGAGCAGGGTTAACTTTACAGTTAGATGAGGTTGGTCGGGCCTTATCTGGTTGAGTTTTGAAAGAATGGAGAATCCACAGTTCCTCTGGGCAACCTGTTCCACTGCTTTAACCGCTTGATCTGAACTTCTTTCCCTCCATATCCCATCGAAATTTCCTTTGCTGCAACTTGTGACCATTGGTTCTTTGAAAACCATGATTCTGGCATCTCTGTAACCGCCTGTTAGGTAGAGACTGCAATTACTAGTTCCTCCTGCCCCCATACATACCTTCTTAACCTTCTTTTTCCAGGCTGAACAAACCCAGCTCTGTCAGCTTCTCCTTTATGAGCTCAAGTGCCTTAACCATCTCAATAGCCATCCTCTGCACTTTCTCCAGTTCATCAGTATCCATGGGGAGGGGGGGAAACTGGGCATACTACACCAGAACCTGAATACTGAATAAATACTGAGCAGAGGAGAAGGATCACTTCCCTTGACCTGCTGACGACACTCTTGCTAATGCAGCCCAGGGTATGGTTGGTTGTCATCACTGCAAGGGTGCTCTGCTGACTCATGTTCAGCTAGTTGCCCATCACTAACCCAGGCTTTTTTCTGCAAAACTGCTTTCTGGACGGTCAGTGCCCAGCCTGTACTGGTGCATGGCATTATTCTATCTCAGATGCAGAATTTTGCATTTGCGTTTGTTGATCTTCATGAGCTTTTTGTCAGCATATTTCTCCAGTTTGTCAAGACCCTTCTGCGTGGCAGTCATACCCATAGTATATTGATTCCTCTTCCCAGTTTGGTGTCATTTGCATCTTTAATTTATTTTTCATTACATTTTGTAAAGTATGAGTTACTGTTATCTTTATTCCACACATGAAAGATTAGTGCACAGAAGTACTACAGGATTTATCCAAAACCATGTTGTTTGCTAGAACTGTGTATTGAACACTGGTCCAGTGTGTCATAGGGTTGTTTTTTATTCACTAAACTATCCCTTCTCATAGTGACATCTCCTGGGGAGCAAAGAAATAGATTAAGAAATGGTCAGGTTAAAAGGTTGTGCTCATAGGTAAGAAGTATTACAGACTTGCCTGAATCTGGATAGAATAAAGATATCCAGTCTCTTGATGAGGTATAAAGTTCAAAGTGTTTTTTGATTCTTTGTACCTCTGAATCTGAAGGTCAAATTGGAGTTCGTAAAATGCCTGTCCAGGATTTATAGCCATTCTTCTGAAAAACATTAGATAAGAGAAAGAGTGCTTTTTTTTTTCCTCAAAAAAAAAAAAAAAAAATCCCTAGCTTTCAAGCCTTCCTTGAAGTATTTTTCTTGCTCACCTCCTACCTTTTCTCCATTACCTGTTTAGGGATTGTTTGAAGAAATACAAAACCAAGTTTTTGCTCAATGTGATTTGTTTATATTCAGATCTTTTAATGTTTTTTTTCCATTAAACAGAATGAGATGGACAGGAATAAAAAACCTATTGCTGTTACCAGGCTCCAGCCAGAACTACATACAGAAGTACAGCCCTGTAATAGAGGTGCAGAACCTCCCAAGAAGGATGCCTTTACTTCTACAGAAGGTTATGAAGAGCTGCTAAATAAGAGATGGCTGGAGGAAGACAGTTGTCACAGGTTAGATGATGAGGTTGAATTAAGAAGTCGACTGTTAAATAAAAGACTTGATGAAGAATTGGATGTTCCCAATCGAAGACATCGTGGATTTGCTAGCCAATCTGTAATTCCTATTAGGAAGCATCACAGACTTGATGAGGATCGTGATTTTGGTAGAAGATACTACAGAATGGACTATGATCCTGAGATAAGTGAAGATGGACCCTATAGATTTAGATG